CAATGGGGATGATGGTTTTCCTGGCCCTGTGTCTGATGTCAATGGGGATGATGGTTTTCCCTGGCCTGTGTCTGATGTCAATGGGGATGATGGTTTTCCCTGGCCTGTGTCTGATGTCAATGGGGATGATGGTTTTCCCTGGCCTGTGTCTGATGTCAATGGGGATGATGGTTTTCCTGGCCCTGTGTCTGATGTCAATTGGGATGATGGTTTTCCTGGCCCTGTGTCTGATGTCAATGGGGATGATGGTTTTCCTGGCCCTGTGTCTGATGTCAGTGGGGATGATGGTTGTGTTGGGCCTGTGTCTGATGTCAATGGGGATGATGGTTTTCCTGGCCCTGTGTCTGATGTCAATGGGGATGATGGTTTTCCTGGCCCTGTGTCTGATGTCAATGGGGATGATGGTTTTCCTGGCCCTGTGTCTGATGTCAATGGGGATGATGGTTTTCCTGGCCCTGTGTCTGATGTCAATGGGGATGATGGTTTTCCTGGCCCTGTGTCTGATGTCAATGGGGATGATGGTTTTCCTGGCCCTGTGTCTGATGTCAATGGGGATGATGGTTTTCCTTGGCCTGTGTCTGATGTCAATGGGGATGATGGTTTTCCTGGCCTGTGTCTGATGTCAATGGGGATGATGGTTTTCCTGGCCCTGTGTCTGATGTCAATGGGGATGATGGTTTTCCTGGCCTGTGTCTGATGTCAATGGGGATGATGGTTTTCCCTGGCCTGTGTCTGATGTCAATGGGGATGATGGTTTTCCTGGCCCTGTGTCTGATGTCAATGGGGATGATGGTTTTCCTGGCCCTGTGTCTGATGTCAATGGGGATGATGGTTTTCCTGGCCCTGTGTCTGATGTCAATGGGGATGATGGTTTTCCTGGGCCTGTGTCTGATGTCAATGGGGATGATGGTTTTCCTGGCCCTGTGTCTGGTGTCAATGGGGATGATGGTTTTCCTGGCCCTGTGTCTGGTGTCAATGGGGATGATGGTTTTCCCTGGCCTGTGTCTGATGTCAATGGGAATGATGGTTTTCCCTGGCCTGTGTCTGATGTCAATGGGGATGATGGTTTTCCTGGCCCTGTGTCTGATGTCAATGGGGATGATGGTTGTGTTGGGCCTGTGTCTGATGTCAATGGGGATGATGGTTTTCCTGGCCCTGTGTCTGATGTCAATGGGGATGATGGTTTTCCTGGCCCTGTGTCTGATGTCAATGGGGATGATGGTTTTCCTGGCCCTGTGTCTGATGTCAGTGGGGATGATGGTTTTCCTGGGCCTGTGTCTGATGTCAATGGGGATGATGGTTTTCCTGGGCCTGTGTCTGATGTCAATGGGGATGATGGTTTTCCTGGCCCTGTGTCTGATGTCAATGGGGATTATGGTTTTCCTGTCCCTGTGTCTGATGTCAATGGGGATGATGGTTTTCCTGGCCCTGTGTCTGATGTCAATGGGGATGATGGTTGTGTTGGGCCTGTGTCTGATGTCAATGGGGATGATGGTTTTCCTGGCCCTGTGTCTGATGTCAATGGGGATGATGGTTTTCCTGACCCTGTGTCTGATGTCAATGGGGATGATGGTTTCCCTGGCCCTGTGTCTGATGTCAATGGGGATGATGGTTTTCCTGGGCCTGTCTGATGTCAATGGGGATGATGGTTTTCCCTGGCCTGTGTCTGATGTCAATGGGGATGATGGTTTTCCTGGCCCTCTGTCTGATGTCAATGGGGATGATGGTTTTCCTGGGCCTGTGTCCGGTGTCAATGGGGATGATGGTTTTCCTACCCTGAGTTGTCAAGTCCTGGCCTTCTCGAAAGGCCTGGTTCTGGCCAAACTTACCCAACATGACAAACTTTAATAATTTATGGAGTCTCAGGAGTTAAACAAGAACAATCTTTTGCAGGTGGGAAACTTTGGAAAAAACTTTCGCCCCTCGTTGGTGGAGTCTGATGTCAATGGGGATGATGGTTTTCCTGGCCCTGTGTCTGATGTCAATGGGGATGATGGTTTTCCTGGCCCTGTGTCTGATGTCAATGGGGATGATGGTTTTCCCTGGCCTGTGTCTGATGTCAATGGGGATGATGGTTGTGTTGGGCCTGTGTCTGATGTCAATGGGGATGATGGTTTTCCTGGCCCTGTGTCTGGTGTCAATGGGGATGATGGTTTTCCTGGCCCTGTGTCTGATGTCAATGGGGATGATGGTTTTCCCTGGCCTGTGTCTGATGTCAATGGGGATGATGGTTGTGTTGGGCCTGTGTCTGATGTCAATGGGGATGATGGTTTTCCCTGGCCTGTGTCTGATGTCAATGGGGATGATGGTTTTCCCTGGCCTGTGTCTGATGTCAATGGGGATGATGGTTTTCCTGGCCCTGTGTCTGATGTCAATGGGGATGATGGTTTTCCTGGCCCTGTGTCTGATGTCAATGGGGATGATGGTTTTCCTGACCCTGTGTCTGATGTCAATGGGGATGATGGTTTCCCTGGCCCTGTGTCTGATGTCAATGGGGATGATGGTTTTCCTGGCCCTGTGTCTGATGTCAATGGGGATGATGGTTTTCCTGGCCCTGTGTCTGATGTCAATGGGGATGATGGTTTTCCCTGGCCTGTGTCTGATGTCAATGGGGATGATGGTTGTGTTGGGCCTGTGTCTGATGTCAATGGGGATGATGGTTTTCCCTGGCCTGTGTCTGATGTCAATGGGGATGATGGTTTTCCCTGGCCTGTGTCTGGTGTCAATGGGGATGATGGTTTTCCTGGCCCTGTGTCTGATGTCAATGGGGATGATGGTTTTCCTGGCCCTGTGTCTGATGTCAATGGGGATGATGGTTTTCCTGACCCTGTGTCTGATGTCAATGGGGATGATGGTTTCCCTGGCCCTGTGTCTGATGTCAATGGGGATGATGGTTTTCCTGGCCCTGTGTCTGGTGTCAATGGGGGTGATGGTTTTCCTGGGCCTGTGTCTGATGTCAATGGGGATGATGGTTGTGTTGGGCCTGTGTCTGATGTCAATGGGGATGATGGTTTTCCTGGCCCTGTGTCTGATGTCAATGGGGATGATGGTTTTCCCTGGCCTGTGTCTGATGTCAATGGGGATGATGGTTTTCCTGGCCCTGTGTCTGATGTCAATGGGGATGATGGTTTTCCTGGCCCTGTGTCTGATGTCAATGGGGATGATGGTTTTCCTGGCCCTGTGTCTGATGTCAATGGGGATGATGGTTTTCCTGGGCCTGTGTCTGATGTCAATGGGGATGATGGTTTTCCTGGCCTGTGTCTGGTGTCAATGGGGATGATGGTTTTCCTGGCCCTGTGTCTGATGTCAATGGGGATGATGGTTTTCCTGGCCCTGTGTCTGATGTCAATGGGGATGATGGTTTTCCTGGCCCTGTGTCTGGTGTCAATGGGGATGATGGTTTTCCTGGCCCTGTGTCTGATGTCAATGGGGATGATGGTTTTCCTGGCCTGTGTCTGATGTCAATGGGGATGATGGTTTTCCTGGCCCTGTGTCTGATGTCAATGGGGATGATGGTTGTGTTGGGCCTGTGTCTGATGTCAATGGGGATGATGGTTTTCCTGGCCCTGTGTCTGATGTCAATGGGGATGATGGTTTTCCTGGCCCTGTGTCTGATGTCAATGGGGATGATGGTTTTCCCTGGCCTGTGTCTGGTGTCAATGGGGATGATGGTTTTCCTGGCCCTGTGTCTGATGTCAATGGGGATGATGGTTTTCCTGGCCCTGTGTCTGATGTCAATGGGGATGATGGTTTTCCTGGCCCTGTGTCTGATGTCAATGGGGATGATGGTTTCTCCTGGCCCTGTGTCTGATGTCAATGGGGATGATGGTTTTCCTGGCCCTGTGTCTGGTGTCAATGGGGGTGATGGTTTTCCTGGGCCTGTGTCTGATGTCAATGGGGATGATGGTTGTGTTGGGCCTGTGTCTGATGTCAATGGGGATGATGGTTTTCCCTGGCCTGTGTCTGATGTCAATGGGGATGATGGTTTTCCCTGGCCTGTGTCTGGTGTCAATGGGGATGATGGTTTTCCTGGCCCTGTGTCTGATGTCAATGGGGATGATGGTTTTCCTGGCCCTGTGTCTGATGTCAATGGGGATGATGGTTGTGTTGGGCCTGTGTCTGATGTCAATGGGGATGATGGTTTTCCTGGCCCTGTGTCTGATGTCAATGGGGATGATGGTTTTCCTGGCCCTGTGTCTGGTGTCAATGGGGATGATGGTTTTCCTGGCCCTGTGTCTGGTGTCAATGGGGATGATGGTTTTCCTGGCCTGTGTCTGATGTCAATGGGGATGATGGTTTTCCTGGCCCTGTGTCTGATGTCAATGGGGATGATGGTTTTCCTGGCCCTGTGTCTGATGTCAATGGGGATGATGGTTTTCCTGGCCCTGTGTCTGATGTCAATGGGGATGATGGTTTTCCTGGCCCTGTGTCTGATGTCAATGGGGATGATGGTTTTCCTGGCCCTGTGTCTGATGTCAATGGGGATGATGGTTTTCCCTGGCCCTGTGTCTGGTGTCAATGGGGATGATGGTTTTCCTGACCCTGTGTCTGATGTCAATGGGGATGATGGTTTCCCTGGCCCTGTGTCTGATGTCAATGGGGATGATGGTTTCCCTGGCCCTGTGTCTGGTGTCAATGGGGATGATGGTTTTCCTGGCCCTGTGTCTGGTGTCAATGGGGGTGATGGTTTTCCTGGGCCTGTGTCTGATGTCAATGGGGATGATGGTTGTGTTGGGCCTGTGTCTGATGTCAATGGGGATGATGGTTTTCCTGGCCCTGTGTCTGGTGTCAATGGGGATGATGGTTTCCCTGGGCCTGTGTCTGGTGTCAATGGGGATGATGGTTTTCCTTGGCCTGTGTCTGATGTCAATGGGGATGATGGTTTTCCTAGCCTAAGTTGTCAAGCCCTGGCCTTCTCGAAAGGCCTGGTTCTAGCCAAACTTACCCAACTTTAATAATTTATGGAGTCTCAGGAGTTAAACAAGAACAATCTTTTGCAGGTGGGAAACTTTGGAAAAAACTTTCGCCCCTTGTTGGTGGAATCATTGGCATTTCCCTCGCAGTTCTTACTTCCGTTTACGTTGCTACATTGCACGAAAATGACCTGTGGTTTTCCAACATCAAGGTAAGGAAATGATTATAATCGCTGTGTGGATGATGCTGAATTTGTTGTTTTCATGGTGCTTTGGCAGTCAGTGTTTTTCTGCAGATCTTTCCACATCTACCATAGCATTACCTTTTTCTTCTATACTGATCATTTTATCAGATGTCCCCTTGACAACCTATTCAGGAGGCACAAACCATTATTCTAACCTTCTCAGTGTAAATATGCTTATGTATCCTTCCAATAAATAATAAAGACAGTAAATGTAATAATAACAAATAGAGAAAAATAATAAATGTAATAATAATAGAGTAAAGGTAAAAGTTTTCCTCTGACGTTAAGTCCAGTTTTGTCCGACTCTGGGGGTTGGTGCTCATCTCTATTTCTAAGCCAAAGAACCAGTGTTGTCCGTAGACACTTTCTAGGTCATACGGCCAGCATGGCTGCATGGAGCACAGAGCGGTACCTTCCCGCCAGAGCGGTATAATAATAAATTTAATAAAAGAGTAAAATAATAAATGTAATAATAATGATAGAGTAAATAATAATTGTAATAATAATAGAGTAAATTAATAAATGCAATAATAATAATAAATAGAGTAAAATAATAAATGTAATTATAATAAATAAAGTAAAATAAATGTAATAATAACAATAATAAAGTAAAATAATAAATGTAATAATAATGATAAATAGAGTAAAATAATAAATGTAATAATAATAAATAGAGTAAAATAATAAATGTAATAATAATAAATAGATAAAAATGTAATATTAATAATAATAAATAGAGTAAAATAATAAATGTAATAATAATAAATAGAGTAAAATAATAAATATAATAATAATAAATAGATAAAATAAATGTAATATTATTAATAATAAATAGAGTAAAATAATAAATGTAATAATAAATAGATAAAATAAATGTAATATTGATAATAATAAATAGAGTAAAATAATAAATGTAATAATAATAAATAGAATAAAATAATAAATAGAATAAAAATAATTATGTAATAATTATGTAAAATAATTATGTAAAATAATAAATAACCTTGACTTGAGTACAAGCCAAGGCGGGCTTTTTCACCTTATAAAAGGGCTGAAAAACTCTGCTTATACTTGAGTATATACGCTAAGTCATGATGTGGATTTCTTTGGTTATAAAACACCCCCTTTTTGTAGCCACAGCCAATATCCCAGTGGGGGGTTTTTTTTGGCAGCCGGATAGCATCAAATTCCATAGCAGTGCAATTCATGATGTGGTACATTAAAGTGTTTTCACCGAATGATGTCATGTTAATAGCACCTATTTTATCTTTAACTCGCTATTAGGGTCCACTCAATTGCAATTTATTGTCAGGTCTTGCAGAATAAATCAGAGCAGGGGTGGTGTTAGAAACTTTGCCAAGAGAAGAGTGAATATTGGGTCAATCACTTGGTGCTTTAAAGCCATCCTCTTTCCACTCAGAGAAAAGAACATGATTTATACCAAATAAAGGGCTAATTATAAGCACACTTTTATGCTGTCCCTGCTTCTTGTAAGTCTGTAATGCCTAGATATAAACAGGCATTTCCTCCAGTCTTTTGGTAGGAAAAAAATATGCTTATGATCCATTTACCGTATATACTCAAGTATAAGCCGACCTGAATATAAACTGAGACACCTAATTTTACCACAAAAATTGGGGAAACGTATTGACTCGAGTATAAGTCGAGGATGGGAAATGCAGCAGCTACTGATAAATTTAAAAAGAAAAACAGATAGCAATAAAATTACATTAATTGAGGCATCAGAAGGTTAAATGTTTTCGAATATTTACATAACACTGTAATTTAAGATAAGACTATCCAACTCTGATTCTCTGATTCTCACCTTCTTCAATGTAAATGTGCTTACGTGTCCTTACGTGTAACATAATAAATGTAATAAAAATATGTGCTTATGTGTCCTTATGTGTAACATGATAAATGTAATAAAAATAAAATAATAATAATAGAATAAAATAATGGAAATGTAACAATAATAGTAACAATAGAGTAAAATAATATATGTAATAATAACAATAATAAATAGATTAAAGTAATAAATGTAATAATAACAATAATACATAGAGTAAAATAGTACATGTTATAACAACAGTAATAAAGTAAAATAATACATGTAATAATAGAGTAAAATGGTAAATGTAATAATAATAAATAGAGTAAAATAATATATGTAATAATAACAATAATAAATAGATTAAATAATAAATGTAATAATAACAATAATAGAGTAAAATAGTACATGTAATAACAACAGTAATAAAGTAAAATAATACATGTCATAATAGAGTAAAATGATAAATGTAATAATAATAAATAGAGTAAAATAATATATGTAATAATAACAATAATAAATAGAGTAACATAGTACATGTAATAACAATAATAAAGTAAAATAATACATGTAAAAATAGAATAAAATGATAAATGCAATAATAATAATAAATAGAGTAAAATGATACATGCCATAATAGAGTAAAATGATAAATGTAATAATAAATAGCGTAAAATAATATATGTAATAATAGAGTAAAATGGTAAATGTAATAATAATAAATAGAATAAAATAATACATGTAATAGAGTAAAATGATAAATATAATAATAAATAGAGTAAAATAATATATGTAATAATAACAATAATAAATAGATTAAATAATAAATGTAATAATAATATATGTAATAATAACAATAATAAATAGATTAAATAATAAATGTAATAATAACAATAATAAATAGAGTAAAATAGTACGTGTAATAACAACAATAATAAAGTAAAATAATACATGTAATAATAGAGTAAAATGGTAAATGTAATAATAATAAATAGAGTAAAATAATATATGTAATAATAAGAATAATAAATAGATTAAAGTAATAAATGTAATAATAACAATAATAAATAGAGTAACATACTACATGTAATAACAATAATAAAGTAAAATAATACACGTAATAATAGAATAAAATGATAAATGCAATAATAATAAATAGAGTAAAATAATACATGTCATAATAGAGTAAAATGATAAATGTAATAATAATAAATAGAGTAAAATAATATATGTAGTAATAACAATAATAAATAGATTAAAGTAATAAATGTAATAATAACAATAATAAATAGAGTAACATAGTACATGTAATAACAATAATAAAGTAAAATAATACATGTAAAAATAGAATAAAATGATAAATGCAGTCATAATAATAAATAGAGTAAAATGATACATGCCATAATAGAGTAAAATGATAAATGTAATAATAAATAGCGTAAAATAATATATGTAATAATAGAGTAAAATGGTAAATGTAATAATAATAAATAGAATAAAATAATACATGTAATAGAGTAAAATGATAAATGTAATAATAATAAATAGAGTAAAATAATATATGTAATAATAACAATAATAAATAGATTAAATAATAAATGTAATAATAATATATGTAATAATAACAATAATAAATAGATTAAATAATAAATGTAATAATAACAATAATAAATAGAGTAAAATAGTACGTGTAATAACAACAATAATAAAGTAAAATAATACATGTAATAATAGAGTAAAATGGTAAATGTAATAATAATAAATAGAGTAAAATAATATATGTAATAATAAGAATAATAAATAGATTAAAGTAATAAATGTAATAATAACAATAATAAATAGAGTAACATACTACATGTAATAACAATAATAAAGTAAAATAATACACGTAATAATAGAGTAAAATGATAAATGTAATAATAATAAATAGAGTAAAATAATATATGTAATAATAACAATAATAAATAGATTAAAGTAATAAATGTAATAATAACAATAATAAATAGAGTAACATAGTACATGTAATGACAATAATAAAGTAAAATAATACATGTAAAAATAGAATAAAATGATAAATGCAATAATAATAAATAGAGTAAAATGATACATGCCATAATAGAGTAAAATGATAAATGTAATAATAAATAGCGTAAAATAATATATGTAATAATAGAGTAAAATGGTAAATGTAATAATAATAAATAGAATAAAATAATACATGTAATAGAGTAAAATGATAAATGTAATAATAATAAATAGAGTAAAATAATATATGTAGAATAACATTAATAAATAGATTAAAGTAATAAATGTAATAATAACAATAATAAAATAGTACATGTAATAACAACAATAATAAAGTAAAATAATAGAGTAAAATGGTAAATGTAATAATAATAATAATAAATAGAGTAAAATAATACATGTAATAATAGAGTAAAATGATAAATGTAATAATAATATATAGAGTAAAATAATACATGTAATAAAAATAATAATAACAGAGTAAAATAATAAATAACCTTGACCTGAGTATACGTCAAGGGGAACTTTTTCAGCCTATAAAAAGGGCTTTAAAACTTTGGCCCTCTAGGAATTGTGGGAGTTGAAGTCCAAACTACCTGGAGGGCCAAAGTTTGCCCATACATACTCTATAGTCTATATTGCATATATAAAATGTATACTATTTAAATTGTTTTCTTAAACTATTAACCTAAAGCTACGTATAGCCATTTCACCAACATGGGGTTATAAGAAAAATACTATTTTCTACAAGACTGGAAATGTGTTACGTATGAGGAAAGCAGATGTTACCTTAGTGTGAGACAGATGTAAAACAGTAGTGTTTGCCTCGTAAAAGATGGCATTTGGTTGAAAACAGCTGGTGCCAGGCTTCCGAATTAATCATTTCTATGTGATACGTCCTTGCTAATGAGATCCCCCTCCATGCCCAGTCTTCCAAACCAAATTCCAAGACATCTCAGGGACCAACCATTTTAATATGTTAATAATTAATAATTCCAGAGGATGTGAAGCCAACATGGGGACATCAGGTATTTTTTCCTGTCATTCTGAACCAGGGGAAACGAGGATGGAATATTTGCAGCATTTCTGAGTCTTTACTGAACTTGCACTGCTACCAAAACCATTTAGTATGCGACAGAACATTAGCTCACAATTGATGTGGTATGGACCATCTGTCATCCCCTCTACTTCATTTGGCTTGTCTCAAGCCCTCATTTAATATTTGGAGTTTGGAAAAGTTGCTTTCCTGGAATACGGCTCCTGCAATCACCTTTTTTTGGTGTGCCAGGAGCGACTTGAGAAACTGCAAGTCGCTTCTGGTGTGAGAGAGTTGGCCGTCAGCAAAGACGTTGCCCAGGGGACGCCCGGATGTTTGATGTGTTGCCATCCTGTGAGAGGCTTCCCTCATGTCCCCGCATGGGAAGCTAAAGCTGAGATGGGAGCTCACCCCACTCCTCGGATTCGAACTGCCAACCTGTCGGTCAGTGGTCCTGCTGGCATCTGATCAGCAGCCATACTGCCTGCAGGATTCTAGTACAAAAACTTCATATTCACAATGTGTTTATATATATTTGATTACACTATGTGGGGGGAAAAATACCTTCCTGGTTTTAAAGTGTTATTTTCTGTTTAATTGAGTGGTATTTCCTTTGAAAGTAGTTGTTTTACTCCAGAAATTTCGTTTGTGTGGCTAGCACAATCTACCTGTATGTTGAATTGGTTGAGACATGATGAGATATTCATTGAAAAACTAGAGCAAAAGGTGCTGCAGAATGATGTCCCTCCCACACAAAGTTTTTGCAGTTGAATAAACCTTTTCCATGGGTTGTTGTAGGTTTTTTCAGGCTATATGGCCATGGTCTAGAGGCATTCTCTCCTGACGTTTCGCCTGCATCATTTTTCCTAGTTCCAACAGACCTCACTACCTCTAGGGATGCTTGCCATAGATGCAGGCAAAACGTCAGGAGAGAATGCCTCTAGACCATGGCCATACAGCCCAAAAAAACCTACAACAACCGGCCATGAAAGCCTTCGACAATACAACTTTTTCCATGTTTTTATTTATTAGCTGTACCCGCCACGCGTTGCTGTAGCCAGTCCTCTTTCTCTCCTTCTTTCCCTCCTTCCTTCACTCCCTCTTTTCTTCCTTCTTTCCTGTCTTTCCTTCTCTCCTTCCTCCTTCTCTATCTCTTTCTTCCTTCCCCCTTTTTCTTTCTCTTCTCTGTCTCTCTCTTTTCTTCCTCTCTCTTTCCTTCTTTCCTTCCTCCCTCTTTCTCTACATCTTCTCCCCTTCCTCCTCCTCTTTCCTTCCTTCTTCCTTTTTTCTTTCCTTCTCTCCTTCTTCCCTTCTCTACCTCTTTCCTCCCCCTTCTTTTCTTTCTCTTCTTCCTCTCTTTTCTTCCTTCTCTCTTTCCTTCCCTCCCTCTTTCCTTCCTTCTTTCCCTTTTTTTCCTTCTCTCCTTCCTTCCTTTCTTCTCTCACTTTCCTTCCTTCCCCCTTTTCTTTCTCTTCTGCTGTCTCTCTTTTCTTCCTTCTCTCTTTCCTTCTTTCCTTCCCTCCCTCTTTCTCTACATCTCCCCCCTTCCTTCACTCCCTCTTTCCTTCCTTCTTTCCCTTTTTTCTTTCCTTCTCTTCTTCCTTCCTTCTCTATGTCTTTCCTTCCTTCCCGCTTTTTCTTTCTCTTCTGCTGTCTCTCTTTTCTTCCTTCTCTCTTTCCTTCTTTCCTTCCCTCCCTCTTTCTCTACATCTTCCCCCTTCCTTCGCTCCCTCTTTCCTTCCTTCCTTCCTTCCCGTCTTTCCTTCTCTTCTTCCTTCCTTCTCTATCTCTTTCCTTCCTTCCCTTTTTCTTTCTCTTCTGCTGTCTCTTTTCTTCCTTCTCTCTTTCCTTCTTTCCTTCCCTCCCTCTTTCTCTACATCTTCCCCCTTCCTTCGCTCCCTCTTTCCTTCCTTCTTTCCCTTTTTCTTTCCTTTCTCCTTCCTTCCTTCTCTGACTTTCCTCCCTCCCTCCCCTTTTTCTTTCCCCCCCTCTTTCTCTCCTTTCTTCCTTCTCTACCTCTTTCCTTCCTTCTCTCTTTGCTTCCATGCTTCCTTCTCCCTTTCCTTCTTTCTTTCCCTCCCTCTTTCTTTTCTCTTTCTTTCTTTCTTTCTTTCTTTCTTTCTTTCTTTCTTTCTCTCCCTTGCTTTCCTTTGCAACTTTCCTCCCTCCCACTTTCCTTTCTTTCCCCCTTTCTTTCTTTCTTTCTTTCTTTTCTCCCCTTCCCTCCCTCTTTCTTCCCTTTTTTCTGTATTGTCATTTAGCTTTTCATCATTTAGCTTTTTGGGGCTTTTAAAGTCCCTCCCAAATGACAGAATCATTGTTTTGAGTGAAGGACATACATTGGGTTGTTAGGTGTCTTGTGTCCAAATTTGGTGTCAATTCCCCCAGTGGTTTTTGAGTTCTGTTAATCCCACAAATGAACATTACATTTTTATTTATATAGACTAGCTGTCCCCTGCCATGCATTGCTGTGGCCCAGTCTCATGTGCTGGAAAAGAAAGTAATGGTTTCTAATCTATGAAATTCCTTTATGCTTGTAGGTAAATGATATTTCTTCTTATTTCTTTGTCAGTGTTGATGTGGAGAGTGTCTGGTTTGCCTACTCTGGAATATGCAACATATCACTGTCCTTCTTTAGGGTTCCCTTTCAAATCTGTATCTGTGGCTGGATGGCTCTTTGTCAGGAGGGCTTTGATGATGTTTTCTTGCCCTGGTGAAGAGAGTTGGACTGAATGGCCTTAAGTATTTTCTGTTGGTCATGGGGGTTCTGTGTGGGAAGTTTGCCCCAATTCTGTCATTTGTGGGGTTCAGAATGCTCTTTCATTGTAGGTAAACTATAAATCCCAGCAACTACAACTCCCAAATGTCAAGGTCTATTTTCCCCAAACTCCATCTGTGTTCATATTTGGGCATATGGAATATTTGTACCAAGTGTGGTCCAGATCCATCCTAGTTTGAGTCCACAGTGCTCTCTGGATGTAGGTGAACTACAACTCCCAAACTCAAGGTCAATGCCCACCAAACCCTTCTAGTGATTTCTGTTGGTCATGGGAGTCCTCTCTGCCAAGATTGGTTCAATTCCATCATTGGTGGAGTTCAGAATGCTCTTTGGTTGTAGGTGAACTATAAATCCCAGCAACTACAACTCCCAAAGGACAAAATCAACATTTTTTGAGTGAAGGACAGACATTGGGCGGTTAGGTGTCTTGTGTCCAAATTTGGTGTCAATTCCCCCAGTGGTTTTTGAGTTCTGTTAATCCCACAAATGAACATTACATTTTTATTTATATAGATTTACTAAATAAAACATTGAGGGTCACCGGAAGTCAGCTGATGAATGCAAGTCTTTCAACCGGTTTGTTTCCTTGCAGGAGGTTGAGCGAGAGATTTCTTTCAGAACGGAGTGCGGCCTCTACTACTCCTACTACAAGCAGATGCTGCAGGCACCGTCCATTCAGCAAGGTGTCGTAACGCTTTTCTTTCAGTCTTTGATTGTTCTGAACTGCATAAAGTAAACATGTCTCTCAAGTTGACTTTTCTGTATGCTGTTTTCTTTGTATGTATTGATGATGTTACTTGGAAACCACTCTGAGTCCCCTCGGGGAGATAGAGCGGTATATAAATAAAGTTTTGTTGTTGTTGTTATAGTTTCGAAGGTTGTTCACTTCACTTCACTTCACTTTATTTCTTAATGAGTCGCTCTCCACCCAGGTGCTCCGAGTGACTTACAGTCTAAAATAGCATTTACACAATATAAAAACATCCCACATAAAAACATTCAACAGTGACTATTCGGCAAATTAGATCTGATTACTTAAATGCACAACCAAACAGCCAAGTCTTGAGCGCCTTTACAAAAGGTCGCAACTCCGACATGGCTCTAATGTATGGAGGCAATGAGTTCCACAGAATTGGAGCATAGGTCGAGAAAGCTCTCCGATGCCTTGTAGCTTCCGGGTGTCCCTCCCTCGCTCGGGCCCGGTATGTAGAGGAGATTTTCCTGGGTGGATCGAGGTGACCACGGATGGGAAAGAGGAATGAGGCGGTCCCTAAGATATCAAGGTCCTTGGCCATTTTGAGCTCTGAATGTCAGGATCAGGATCTTGTCAGAGATCCAATGTTCTCTTGGGAGCCAATGTAATTGTTGCAGAATCGGTGTGATATGAGATCTTAGAGATGATCCCGCTAGTAGCCTGGCCGCTGCATTTTGGACCATCCGAATCTTCTGGGTCGTTGACTTCAGAAGGCCGGCATAGAAGGCGTTGCAATAGTCCAACCTCATGGTGACTGTTTCGTGGATTACTGTTGCCAATGCTTCTACTGAACGGTCGGATGCCAATTTCCTTGCCTGGCGAAGATTAAAAAAGGCCTGCTTCCTTATGGCCGTGATCTGGGTCTCCATCTTCAGCGATGAGTCCAACACAACCCCAAGGCTTTGAACAGTGGCAGATGGAACCAGAGCTTCCCCATCGAAATCAGGCAGAGACTGGGTTAATTCTGGAGGCTGGCCGGGCCAGAGGATCTCAGTTTTTGCAGGATTCCCTTTGAGTCTGCTCACTCGCAGCCAACTCATCACTGCTTCCAAACACAGCCTAAAGTTCTCAGGAATCGCGGTGGTTGTCCCAGGTTCGAGACGCAAGCGTAGCTGGGTCTCATCTGCATACTGGTAGCACTCTAGGCCAAAGCTCTGCACCAGTCCAGCAAGTGGTCGGACATAGATGTGAAATAACCGGGGCGAGAGGAGAGCACCCTGGGGAACTCACTCCAAAGCAAAGGCAGGAGCTTTCAGAGCTTTGGCCTCACCACTCCACCCTCTGTCTTCGGTCCTGGAGGAACGCATTGAACCATTTCAGGGCTAAACCTCCTCGTACACCAGACATAGCCAATCAATGAATCAGCAAGTCATGGTCCACGGTGTTGAAGGCAGCTGTGAGGTCCAAGAGTACCAATAACGCTGATCCGCCTTGGTCTAACTGACGACGAATTTCGTCAGTAATAGCTACCAAGACAGTCTCTGTCCCATGCATCGTATTTACCCCCATGGGGGTAAATTTGAAATAACTCCTGGAATTTTGAAATAACTCCCGGGGACAATGTTATTGTCATCATCACCACCACTGTCACTATTGGCTGCACATCAGAACTGGGCCACATGTGGCCGTCCAGATCCTTTTGGGCAGCACATCCCATCACACTTCCCTCTTGGCTTTGTTGGCTAGGAGTGTATATTATTTGTTGTAACAGACATCTATATACTCCCTTTTCTCCCATAATGTGAGACACATGCACTTCATCATCACAACAGTGCTCTGGAATAGGGGCAGACAGAGAGGGAAAAGGTAAAAATATCAATGCCATGACTCAGGATGCATCTACATTGTTTTGGACTCTAGCTCCCAAAATCCCTGGCCATTGGACAAGCTGCTAGGAATTATGGGAGTTGGAAGTCCAAAACCCCTGGAGGGCCAAAGTTTGCCTGATCTAGGAAGACTAGAAGTAATCTTGGTGTAGGAGATACATGCAGGAACAGTACACCGCAGATGCAGCAATTCATTCCAACAGGAAGGCTTTATCTTCAATTGCAGCAGTGCAGATATTTACATCTAGAAACAGATGCATGTCCATGCTAACCAATTCTATTTGCCCGTTGCCTGTGTCAGCCTGGCACCTTGCTTTGGTCCTGGTGGACACTCTGAGATGATCCCTAAATTGACACTATTTGTGCATTGAACATTTCACGTGGGGTGTCTGGTTCCTGCAAACTGCCTGCCTTTTGATTTTGTGTTTCTGCCTTCTCTGCCATCTGCTGCGTTTCCTCGTTGCCAGGAAAAACTCAGGTGGTACCCCAAAAGTCACAGGCAGGGGCACATCAGATGGCAAAGGAGTAGGAAAGTATAGTTTCTCAGCTGTGCAGTGCCAATAAAATGTTGAATGTGTGTAGACCTTCTGGCAAGGAAACTAGTCCAATGTGGGCTAGGCAAAACTACGGTGAGGTGGATCTGTAATTGGTTAAGTGGACGAACACAGAGAGTGCTCACTAATGCTTCCTCTTCATCTTGGAAAGAAGTGACAAGTGGAGTGCCGCAGGGTTCCGGCCTGGGCCCGGTCCTGTTCAACATCTTTATTAATGACTTAGATGAAGGGCTAGAAGGCAGGATCATCAAGTTTGCAGACGACACCAAATTGGGAGGGAGCCAATACTCCAGAGGACAGGAGCAGGATTCAAAACGATCTTGACAGACTAGAGAGATGATGGCCAAAACTAACAAAATGAAGTTCAACAGGGACAAATGCAAGATACTCCACTTTGGCAGAAAAAACAAAATGCAAAGATATAGAATGGGGGACGATGCCTGGCTCGAGAGCAGTACGTGTGAAAAAGATCTTGGAGGCCTCGTGGACAACAAGTTAAACATGAGCCAACAATGTGATGTGGCGGCAAAAAAAGCCAATGGGATTTTGGCCTGCATCAATAGGAGCATAGTGTCTAGATCTAGGGAAGTAATGCTACCCCTCTATTCTGCTTGTTAGACCACACCTGGAATATTGTGTCCAATTCTGGGCACCACAATTCAAGAGAGATATTGACAAGCTGGAATGTGTCCAGAGGAGGGCGACTAAAATGATCAAGGGTCTGGAGAACAAGCCCTATGAGGAGCGGCTTAGGGAACTGGGCATGTTTAGCCTGAAGAAGAGAAGGCTGAGAGGAGATATCATAGCCATGTATAAATATGTGAGAGGAAGCCACAGGGAGGAGGGAGCAAGCTTGTTTTCTGCTTCCTGAGACTAGGACACGGAACAATGGCTTCAAACTACAAGAGAGGAGATTCCATATGAACATGAGGAAGAACTTCCTGACTGTGAGAGCCGTTCAGCAGTGGAACTCTCTGCCCCGGAGTGTGGTGGAGGCTCCTTCTTTGGAAGCTTTTAAGCAGAGGCTGGATGGCCATCTGTCAGGGGTGATTTGAATGCAATATTCCTGCTTCTTGGCAGAATGGGGTTGGACTGGATGGCCCGTGAGGTCTCTTCCAACTCTTTGATTGTATGATTCTATGATTCTAGAGATAATAGCCAGAACCCACTTTACTTATTACAGCAGCCGCCAAGTTAATATTGACATAGGCTCTGCTTGACTATATGCACTATAATTCCAAAGTAAATACAGTCAGCAATGGCTGGAACATCCAAAATGATCAGCCCCAGAATCAAGTGTCTGGGTCTGGGTCTTTAACTCTTACTGTACCTGGAGATGTCTAGATGTTTTAGGACTCTGCCTTATAGACATCTCTGCAAACGGTTCTCCTATTGTTTTCAGGCTGTCTTGACTTCTAGAAAATGAATTATCTGTTTGTTGGCTGTAAAAGAACAAACATACAAGGGTTGAATGAAAAGTAATGCCTCCACCTTCATAACTCCTCAACCAATGGCAGTACTAGTATGCAGCAGGTACTGGCTTGTTCAGTAGACTCTCCTCTACAGTTCCATTTTGGCAGGAAGCCTTAGCATTGAATTGATCAAAAACACATAGGCTTTAATGATATTTTCATGGTGACTTGGTATGAATTCTCCGACTGATTTGATTTCTAATTCTGTCCATTCTCTTTTGTAGAAGTCTTCACCACTGAAATAAGTAGACACGCTTATTCTTTCCTCTCACCACACAGGTTTATATGGCTTGATTTATGACAATAAAACGGAATCCATGAGGACAATTAACATACTTGAAAGAATGAATGTTTACCAAGAAGTATTCCTCAGCATCCTGTATACAGTTTTTCAAGTGAAGGTACACATTGTCTTATCAATTTCTGAGAAATGAGCACATTGATTTTAATCCCACATTTAAGTAAGGCATGAGTCCTACTCCCATTGACCATAATATCCATTGTTCTGAGCTTGCTCTCTCTGAACGAACTCACACTTGATTTGTGAGAGTTCATTAAGATAACTATAATATTTTATTTATTTATTTATTTATTATATTGCAGCTTTATAATATTATTCTAACCATTGTATTGTCGAAGGCTCTCATGGCTGGAATCACTGGGTTGTTGTAGATTTGTCGGGCTATATGGCCATGCTCTAGAAGCATTCTCTCCTGACGTTTTGCCTGCATCTATGGCAAGCATCCTCAGAGGTAGTGAGGTCTGAGGAAACTTGCCGCAGATGCAGGCAAAACTTCAGGAGAGAATGCTTCTAGAACATGGCCATATAGCCCGAAAAACCTACAACAACCCTATCCTAACCATATTTATTTAGAAGTAAGTCTGTTTTAATGTGTGTGTATTTGTAGATTTTCAATAGTATCAACTTGCTCTTAATGTACGCTGGTTTGAGTCTCCTTGTGGAGGGAAAAACGGGGTATAAACACATTTTAAAAGGTAAAGGTTTCCATTAAAGCATGTTGAGTCCAATTCTTGGGGTTGATGCTCATCTCCATTTCTAAGCCAAAAAGCCGGCGTTATCTGTAGACACCTCCAAGGTTATGTGGCCAGCATGACTGCATGGAGTGCCATTACCTTCCCAAAAATGCAGTACAACTGTTTGGCTGGCTCCTGACACGATTAATAATAATAATCATCATCATCATCATCATCATCTTTATTTATACCCCGCTACCATCTCCCCAAGGGACTCAGTGCGGCTTACCTGAGGCCGAGCCCATAATACAACAATACAAGCAATTAAAATCAATAAACAAATACAGTAAAACCATGATAAATAAATAACCTTCCCAAAGAAGCGATACCTATTGATCTACTAATATTTCCATGTTTTTGAACTGCTAAGTTGGCAGAAGCTGGGGCTAACTGCAAGAGCTCACCCTGCTCCCTAGATTCACACCGCCAATCTTTTGATCATCAAGTTCAGCAGCTCAACGGATTATTATTATTATTATTATTATTATTATTATTTCATGCATTTCTACCCCGACCTTCTCCCCTCGAAGGGGGACTCAGGTTGGCCTCACAGAAGCATCATATGATGCTATCAGCATAGAAACAATCCAGACTTACATTTAAAACACAATTTGAGGAATTGATAATAGAAGGATTAAAAAGAGAAAATAGTGATCAATTAAAAGGAACAACAAGTAAAATATATAAAATACTAATTAAAGACACAGGAAAAAAGAAAAGAGTAACATTAAGAGAATTATGGGAAGAGGAAGTAGGAGCAAAGATAACTGAAAAAGAATGGGAAGAGATATGGAAAGGAAGACACTTAAAAAACATGTCAATTAGAATAAAAGAAAACTATTATAAACTAATTTGGAAATGGTATTTAACACCGAGAAGGTTAAACATTATAAATAAGAACAATAATGAAAAATGTTGGCGAGGATGCCAAGAAATTGGAACCTTCATGCATATGTGGTGGGACTGTAAATATGTAAAGGATTTTTGGGAATTAGTTATAACAGAAATAGAAAATATTATGGATATAAAAATTAGGAGGAATCCAGTAGAAATATTACTGTTAATTAAAAAAGATGATGGGAAAGAAAAGATAAGATGGGAAAAAACTTAATAGATATGCTATTAACAGCAGCTAGACTATTAATTGCAAAATATTGGAAAGCAGCAATGAAAATACAGATTAATTAATGGTATAAAGAAATCTGGAAAATGGCATTGAACGATAAGCTAACATCAAACTTAAAAGTAAAGAAGGGATTATGTAAAAAAATGACTTTGAAAATATCTGGAGAAAGTTTCTAGAAAAAAATATTGGAAAAGGAAGATGGGAATTTACCTCCAAATGAAGAAATGATTTTTTGGTGGGACTTTAGGAAAAGAGATGGCTCTGGAGAAGGAAGGGGAGCACAGGGGTGAATGTAAATAAAAGAGAGTGAAATGTATAATATATGTTTAAATAACTGTATGTGCTTTTCTCAAATAAAAATATTTTAAAAAACAGTAGAATCATTAAAAACATTATACAAATTCATTAAACAATAAATCAAACATGCCAAATAACCGCTGTGCCACCAGGGGCTATTTATTTATTGTTTTAAAACATATTATTATTAATAATATTTATTAATATGTTATTATTAATAATAATATTTCAGTGAAACTTAGAACTAGATGCCTTAAGGTGCATCTGCACTATAAAATGAATGCGGTTTGACAGGCATGTCTCAGTGCTATGGTGTCATGGAGACCTTGTAAAACTATAGCTCCCATAATATTATGGTATTTAGCCATGGCAGTTAAAGTGTTGTTGTCAGACTGCATTAAATCTACAGGGTTTGGCAGCATAACTTCTTTTTTTTTAATGCGCACCATTCAGTCGGTTGAAGACGTAGCGGAGCGCTAGTGGTCTTGTTCGAGAAGCGGGAGTATAAAGCTTTGTCCTGACACAATTCAGTCGCCATCATGTATTAGAACAGTGAGGAGCGTGCTTTTGCCATTGAGGCCTATTTATCGAGCAGGTGTTCTGTGACCGCAACCTAGCGCGCCTTTCGGAATCGCTTTAATTTAGCCCCATTGGCCCCTGTCCCGGACCAGAAATCCATTGTGACGTGGGTCACTACATTCAGACAAACTGCAAGTGCAACAAGATGAAGAACGGAAGTCCCTTGGCCCATGAGATCACCTGAGAACATTGAGGCAGTGAGAGCTTCCATGTTACAATCACCATGGCGTTCTGCGCACCAACATGCGTTGTCTGCCCTTGGACTTTCCGATCGTTCTGTGAGGAGAATTCTTCATGCTGATCTTCATGTCCATCCTTACAAAATGGCGATTGTGCAGGAACTTTCTGAACGTGACTTCAATTCTTGGAGGAACGCATGTGAGGTTCTTCTCGAAGTCGTTCCTGAGGATGCTATTTTTTTTTTAGTGATGAAGCCTATTTTCATTTGTGTGGATCTGTCAACAAACGAAACATGCGCTACTGGGCTGACAACAATCCTCGAGAATTGCATCCAAGGCCTTTGCATTCCCCTAAAATCCCAGTGTGTTGTGCAATTTCCTCAGCTGGAAATATTGGTCCCTGGTTCTTTGAGGAAAATGAAGTCTCAGTGACAGGGAATTCGGACTGGTATGTCAACATGTTACAGGAATTTTTTTCCCCCACGGCTAGATGGGTTGGACTTAGGGGACATTAGGTTCCAACAAGACGGTGCAACTGCACACACTTCAAGAGCATCGATGGTTGAGGGAACACTTCCCAGAGCGCCTCATCATCTCAATTAGGGAGGATTTGGAGTGGCCGGCCCATTCTCCAGATTTGACCCCTTGTGATTTTTTTCTATGGGGTTTTTAAAAATCCTGTGTTTATGTAAACCGTCCAAGGACCTGACAAGATTTGAAGACCAACATCCAGGAAGACATTGTCCACAGAATGCCTGCGATGCTTGCAAGAGTCATGACAAACGCCAGAAATCAGGGACGTCACCTACCTAATTTGATCTTCAAAACTACGTAAAACAAAACTTTAGGTATGCACCTACATTATATAAAAAAATTCTGATTCATACAATGGGTTTTTATTAAGTTTAGAAAAAGGAAATTATGCTGCTGCACCCTGTACAATGTAGATGCTCAGTTACAAAAGTTTATAACAATATTTCATACTAAAAGAATGTATATTTAACTATCTCATATATCTTCCATTCACAGAATTTTTTAGAACCTGTGTATTTTTATATCTATACGGTGTTTGGCCTTCAGTCGGTGTATGTCCTGGCACTTTATGGAACCAGCTGGCTTCTCAGTGGAACCTGGCTTTCCGGTGTATTAGCGGCCTTCTGGTACATCACAAACAGGTAAGGTAATTGGGTGAATTCATCCACAATCTTATGTCCCTTGCCAGAGCCATTTGGAAATAATGAATAGATGGAATATGGTCTACAATGACATTGGTTGGGATTTAATTTAAAGAGGTTTTTGGAAGCCTGGCCTTAAAAGGGTATTTCAAAAAAGACTTATTTGAGACTTTTCTTTTCCAACCACTCCTGGTGAAGAAAGAAACATTAAAAGCACATGTCTTGGCCACTTTAAGGTCCTTTAAATATCTGCTAATCAATTATTAATGATGTTTGTGTGCTAAGCTGCATAGAACACAAACAGTCAATAAGCTACCAATCGGCTGGCTTTTAGTCAGCTATGAAAAACAATTAGTACAATATTTCACTGCAAATAATATTTCTGGAGTATTCAATGGACTTGGTCGTATATTCTTAACTTAAATAATTTAGACATGTTGGACTTTTGCGTTTAGTGCTTTGAAATGCATTGTAAACACGCCGATGGTTGAGTTAGTTTGTAGCCGCACTACATTTCTCTCTATATTTATTTAATTATTTAATTATTTATTTAATTATTTGACTTGTATACCGCCACTCCCAATTTGGCTCAGAGCGGTTTACAGCAATAGATTAAAACAATACAACCAACTTTTAAATACAATAAAAACGAGAACTGACATAGTCCCGAGTTATTCACCCATTGAAAGCTTGTCGGAAAAGAAAGGTTTTACAGGCTTTCCGAAAAGCAAGTAGGTCTCGGATGGTTCAGGTTTCAACTGGCAAGGCATATAGGGCTTATCTGGTTGAAATCTGAGATTAAAAAGAAACCATGATGGAGTGGTTGTTCTGATTGTCCTGGATACAAATACAAATGTCATTTTGTTATGTATGAAAGTAGTTATATCAGGCATGGGCAAACTTGGGGACACATGGCGGGGTGGACGGGCCGGGAGGGAAGGGGGTCTCCCCAAGGCCCCTCCCTGCCCTTTACTCCCCTTCCTCTTTTTTGGAGTGTTGGCCTTGGTCAGAATGAGATGGTGGATGGGAGAGACAAAGTGCATCCAATAGACCCCGTATTGCCTACTTATATATATTAGACACAATCGAAGCACTCCCAATAGACAGCCTCTGTGGAAAATCCTCCAGAGAAGGAGACTCCACCAGGGAAGGGAGAAGGAGGGAAGGGAGAGGGAAAGAGAAAGGGGTGAAGGAAGTATGAAAGGGAAGGAGGGAAGGAGATAGGGGGGAAGAAAGAGGGAAGGAGGGGACGACAAAAGGGGGAAGGGAAGGAAGGATTGGAGAAAGAGGGAGAGAAGAGGAAAAGGAGGAAGAAAAAAGAGAAGGATCGGAGGAAGAGAGGGATGGATGGAAGGAAGAGTGGGAGATAATGGAGGGAGGGAAGGGAGAGGGAAGGAGAAAGGAGTGAAGGAAGGACGAAAGGGAAGGAGGGAAGGAATTATAGGAGGGAGGAAAGAAGGAAGGAAGGACAAAAGGAGGAAGGGAAGTAAGGAGGGAGGGAGAAAGAGGGAGGTAAGGAAGGAAGGAAGGGAAGGAGGGAGGGAGAAAGAGAAAAGGAAGGATAGGATGGTGAGAGAGAGGAAGGCCTGAGAAAAGAGTCCAAGAGCTGCATCCGACCCTCGGGCCTGGGTTTGCCCATATCTGAGTTATAGTCTATTCCAACTCCATTTTCAATTCTAAAGCAATCAAGAAAAGAGCACGTTTCCTGAAAGAAGAGCCAGGAAAATAAGATTCTGACTGTAAATAGAAGGTCAGCTTCTGTCCTCTCCTTCTTGCCTTGTATTTCATTTGTGTTGTATTTTGAAATGGTCATATGACTGGTCAAATAAATAAATAATATTAATAACTATTTTCAATTCTGAAGTTTTACTTCTTTGTGGCACAGGTCTTCTATTAATCTTTCCTTTTTTTGTGCAGAATAGATACGACTCGTGTGGAATTCACCATTCCGTTAAGAGAGAACTGGGCCCTGCCGTTCTTCGCTGTTCAGACAGCGGCAATTACATTCCTGTTCAGGACTCATTTACGACCTACTCATGAAGTGAGTCTTTTTGTTTTATTTAGCTATATATATATATATAGTTAAAATGTAATACAAACCTAGTGAGATGTGATGCTTTAAGGTTTAGATTGGGACTTGAGTGACCTCTGTTGCGTTTTCCATCAAGCCATGAAGCAGAACAGAGAGCTTGTAATGTATATCAATCAATATAATAAACAAACAAGCATATAAACAAGATAGATGTTTTTGATATAGGTAAGGCAGGATAGAAGAGATTGTTCGAATCAAAAGGTAACAGTGTGTGAGTATGTAAATAACACCATGTAACACGATTTTTGTTCCTGGGTCATAAATGTCATTTCCTAATTGGATCTATAATAAAAACATGGAAAACGCTTATTCAACTGCAACAACTTTGTTTTAAGGGGAGGGACATCCTGCTATAGCGCATTTGGCTCTAGTTTTTCAATGCATCTCTCACCGAGTCTCAACCAATCTATATATATTAAAAATGCTCTGTGCATAATGAGTACCTTAAAAACAAAAGAACCAATGAAAGAAATCACACCAAATGTGCCTTCCAAACATCTCACAACACAAGGAGTGACCTACGCAGACCGTTGGTCAATGCGACTTAAGCAACGTGCAGTCATTGAATTCTCGACAGCAGAAAGTGTCACTTCAATATCTTTAAACTTACTTGCCCAACGACGCACAGTACTCACATCAACACAATCACCATCAACAACTTGCATTCTCTGATGAATCTCCTTTGGGGTGACACCTTCTGCTGTCAAGAATTCAATGACTGCACGTTGCTTAAGTCGCATTGACCGACCGTCTGTGCAGGGTTCCATACTTCGCACTTTAACAGCACAACCGTTCAATGCTAAAACAAAACTGTAGAGGAGAGTCTACTGAACAAGCCAGTACCTGCCGCATACCAGTACTGCCATCTGTTGAGGCGCTATGAAGGTGGAGGCATTACTTTTCATTCAACCCTCGTGCCTTACACTTTAACAACACAACCGTTTAATGCTAAGGCTTCCTGCCAAAATGGAACTGTAGAGGAGAGTCTACTGAACAAGCCAGTACCTGCCGCATACCAGTACTGCCATCTGTTGAGGAGCTACGAAGGTGGAGGCATTACTTTTCATTCAACCCTCATATATTCAGAATCTATACAGTATATAGATAAAATATTAAGCAATGGTTTGGAGTGGTATCGGTGATAAATAACATAAGACGCAAGTGAATGCTGAGTGAACCATTTCAAGGAATCGGATCCAGGTTCTCTCTACACATTAGAGACCTTTCTCTCAAGGTGGCTGCTCTCCTGACTGTTGTTCTTTCTCTCCCTCCAGAAGCTGACACTGGCAGCATTGTTTATATCAACCTCACTCTTCAGTTTGGCTTGGCAGTTTAATCAATTTATGCTGCTGATGCAGGCCTTGGTGTTGTTCACTCTCGACTCTCTGGACCTGCTTCCTAGCAAAAAGGTGAGTTCGTGGTGGATGTGGCTCATTGGCACCCAGTTATGCGCATTTAAGGCTAATTTAAATCATGGGGAAACAAATCACATTTCAGAATATTTGATTGCTTTCTGCCATTCTACTGCTGTGAGTAATTTTAAGTGCTGAAAAAAATAATAATCATAGAATCCTAGAATCAAAGAGTTGGAAGAGACCTCATGGGCCATCCAGTCCAACCCCATTCTGCCAAGAAGCAGGGATATTGCATTCAAATCACCCCTGACAGATGGCCATCCCGCCTCTGTTTAAAAGCTTCCAAAGAAGGAGCCTCCACCACACTCCCTCCGGGGCAGAGAGTTCCACTGCTGAACGGCTCTCACAGTCAGGAAGTTCTTCCTCATGTTCAGATGGAATCTCCTCTCTTGAAGTTTGAAGCCATTGTTCCATTGCGTCCTAGTCTCCAAGGAAGCAGAAAGGAAGCTTGCTCCCTCCTCCTCCTCCCTGTGTCTTCCTCTCACATATTTATACATGGCTCTTATCATATCTCCTCTCAGCCTTCTCTTCTTCAGGCTAAACATACCCAGCTCCTTAAGCCGCTCCTCATAGAGCTTGTCCTCCAGACCCTTGATCATTTTAGTTGCCCTCCTCTGGACACATTCCAGCTTAGAGTCAATATCTCTCTTGAATTGTGGTGCCCAGAATTGGACACAATATTCCAGATGTGGTCTAACCAAAGCAGAATAGAGGGGTAGCATTACTTCCTTAGATCTAGGCACTAGGCTCCTCTTGATGCAGGCCAACATCCCATTGGCTCTTTTTGCCGCCACATCACATTCCTGGCTCATGTTTAACTTGTTGTCCACGAGGACTCCAAGATCTTTTTTACACGTACTGCTCTCAAGCCAGGCCTCGTCCCCCATTCTGTCTCTTTGCATTTCGTTTTTCCTGCCAGTGGAGTCTCTTGCATTTGTCACTGTTGAACTTCATTTTGTTAGTTTTGGCCCATCTCAGGTGCTCTGCTATGACTGACCTCTCAGGTTGAAGGAGTCTGCAGTGCCTTTCATGAGGCCAAGCCCGAGGAACCAACCTGGACACAGCATTTTATTTGAGAACACAGAAATGCTGGACCACTCTCACAACCACCATGTCAGACTACACAGAGAAGCCATTGAAATCCACAAGAAGCATGTGGACAATTTCAATAGAAAGGAAGAGACCATGAAAATGAACAAAATCTGGCTACCAGTATTAAAAAACTCTAAAATTACAACAGCTCAACAACAGAGAGGGAACAAACAGGGACATCTAATCACCTCTCAACAAAAGTTTGCTCCAGGCACTGTCAGGCCATTATATGCTAATCAAGGTGGCCAGTTGAAACATTATCTTTACTTATGTCTAAAGAAAACATGGCAGGATTGTAAATTCTTGACACATACATAGTTTAAGCTTGAATTTTAATCTCTTGCCCTGTGTTTTAATCGCTGTGCATTTAATGTGTATTTTATAGAGATATGTTTTAATATGTATCTTTTAGAGAATTACATTTTAATATTTGTGTTTGTAGAATTTTTGAAATGCCTGTGTGTTTTGACTCCTCAAGCTACGGGGAGAGGCAGGTAAGAAATAAAATTATTATTATTATTATTTCTTTGATTATTTTTTGCAGGTTACCTGGATCTATGTGATACAAGTGGCTAGTTTGCTTCTTGTCTGCCTTCTGCAGTTCTTCAACTCCATGATAGTCGGATCACTGCTTATAAGCTTTAATATATCTGCCTTGTTAGCCAGAAAACTACAGGTATATAATTCTCTTTTATTTTGAAATAACTGGTTAGTGAGATAAACTAGACAGTTGTCTACTTTTTTTGCAAGAAGGAGGAAATGGCTTTCAAGTGCTGCCAGAATATAATTCCCACCTGTCTGTGATAATTGTGCTCTTATCAGTGCTTATCAATAATTGCGCTCTTATCAATAACTGAATATAATTCCCACCTGTCTGTGATAATTGTGCTCTTATCAATACGTATCAATAATTGTGCTCTTATCAATACTGAATATAATTCCCAATTGTCTGTGATAATTGTGCTCTTATCAATATGTATCAATAATTGTGCTCTTATCAAAACTGAATATTCCCACCTGTCTGTGATAATTGTACTCTTATTAATACGCATCAATAATTGTGCTCTTATCAATACTGATTATAATTCCCACCTGTCTGTGATAATTGTGCTCTTATCAATAGGTATCAATAATTGTGCTCTTATCAATACTGAATATAATTCCCACTTGTCTGTGAGAATTGTGCTCTTATTAATATGTATCAATAATTGTGCTCTTATCAATACTGAATATAATTCCCACCTGCCTGTGATAATTGTGCTCTTATCAATATCAATAATTGTGCTCTTATCAATATTGAATATAATTTCCACCTGTCTGTGATAATTGTGCTCTTATCAATACTAAATATAATTCCCGCCTGTCTGTGATAATTTTGCTCTTATCAATATGTATCAATAATTGTGCTCTTATCAATACTGATTATAATTCCCACCTGCCTGTGATAATTGTGTTCTTATCAATGCTTCTGTCACAAGGACATCTGAATGTTAGACAGTAGTTCTCAATAAAAGTCCTGAAAGCACCAGATTCCTTGCCTTCGTTCACAGTGTTCACTTTTATGGGGATCCTGTGCCACTAAACCACAGCCAATGCAGAGGTCTAGCTATGTGGTACACACAGTAGTTTTCAGCTTAGCATAAATTCCACTTTAGGTATGTATGTTTTGAACATTAAAATTGCTTCTGTTTTCCAGAATAACCTGAAAATTGGCGGCTTGTTCAGCAGACTTGGAAAGCTTTTCCTCCATATTCTCTTAGTGCTAAGTTTGACATTTCTCGGAAATAATTTTATCAAGGTGAGTAACTGCGTGTCAGACTGTGGGATCTATGTAGCAATATTAAATAACCACTCACAAGCCGGTTCTGCTTTGAAATGGATATATTGCTTGTATCTCTTCAGCAAAGAAAGACACTGCTGACTTTTTCCCCACCACCACTTCCTTTTATACACCTTTTCTGCCCATCTCCCCCTCTTCTTGGTTTCCTTATTAGAATTTGTTGCTCCACAAGTTGCAGTACAAGGTTTCCAGCACCCTCTGCTGGCTTCAAAATATCAGAGAGAGAATTGATTCAGCCAGGATGATTCAGTCAGGATGTCACGGAGGGAATTTGTGATGTCTTCATGCCGTCGGAAATTGACTCCTGACACTGCTCTCTTTCCTTACCCTTTTCTGATTATGTCTCTCTAGGATAGTCGTTCTCAACCCTCCTAAAGCCATGACCCCTTAATACAGTTCCTCATGTTGTGGTGGCCCCCAACCATAACATTATTTTTGTTGCTACTTCATAACTGTAATATTGCTATTGTTATGAATCGTGATGTAAATATCTGATATACAGGATGTATTTACATTCACTGGACCAAATTTTCCACAAATACCCAATACGCTCAAATTCGAATACTAGTGGGCTTGGGGTGGATTGATTTTGTCATTGGGGAGTTTTAGTTGTTCAGAGTTATAGTTCACCTACAACCAAAGAGCATTCTGAACCCCACCGACAATGGAATTGACCCAAACTTGGCACACAGAACTCCCATGACCAATAAAAAATACTGGAAGGGTTTGGTTGGTATTGAACTTGAGTTTTGGAGTTGTAGTTCACCTACATCCAGAGGGCACTGTGGACTCAAACAATGATGGATCTGGGCCAAACTTGGCACGAATACCCAATATGCCCAAATGTGAACACTGGTGGAGTTTGGGGAAAATAGAATCTTGACATTCGGGAGTTGTAGTTGCTTGGATTGATAGTTCACCAACAATCAAAGAGCATTCTGAACCCTAGCAGTGATAGAATTGGGCCAAACTTCCCACACAGAACTCTCATGACCACTAAGAGGAAATTATAACTTTTGTTTTGTATGTTCATAGAAAGTTCTTAACCTGGAATCGGATGAGCATATCTTTAAATTTCTGAAAGCGAAATTTGGATTTGGAGCAACAAGGTATTGAACCAATTATTTTTGAGATTACTTACACAGTATAAAGCAATTATTTCTGCTTCTGAAATTACACACATTTCTGCTTGGAAATACTAGATAATCTTCGTTTTTTTGTAACATGCAGTTTGTTCATTTCATGTCAAAAGCATTGCATAAATAAATTAGTATAAAACTGAATTTATTATTATTATTATTATTATTATTATTATTATTATTATCTGTTGAGGAGTTACGAAGGTGGAGGCATTACACAACCAATCAATGCTAAGGCTTCCCTACAAAATGGAACTGTAGATGAGAGTCTACAGAACAAGCCAGTACCTGCTATATACCAGTACCTTGGGGAGATGGTAGCGGGGTACAAAGTATTATTATTATTATTATTATTATTATTATTATTATTATTACTATTATTATCATCTGTTGAGGAGTTACAAAGGTGGAGGCATTACACAACCAATCAATGCTAAGGCTTCCCTACAAAATGGAACTGTAGATGAGAATCTACAGAACAAGCCACTACCTGCTGCATACCAGTACTGCCAACTGTTGAGGAGCTACGAAGGTGGAGGCATTACTTTTCATTCAATCCTTGTATATAATTTTAGACCAAAAATGGGCAGCAGTGTCTATAGCTTTAAACAGTTCTTCCTCTGTTCATAAGGCAGGTCATTGTGGGCAAGCATTTACTAATAATATAATATAATATATTGTATATACATATCATATTCATAATATTATAATGTAATAAAATTTAATAATAATAATAATAAGATAATTATAATATGATATAATAATAATAATAATAATAATAATAATAATAATAATAATAATAATATCCTGGTCTGAGTCCCTCTACGGAGGTAGAGAAAATCGGGATATAAAAGTTTTAAATAAATAAATTTAAATTATATATTTTATTTTACATGTAATATTACTCCTGCGTCATCTGTTGGGAGCCCCTCCCCGCAGCACCAACTGCTGCTCTGGGCCAGAGTGAAGAGAGAGGGGACCAGGAAGACAGCTCCATCTTGCCCCCTGTGCTATGCTAATCATATAATATAATATATTGCATATACATATAATATTTATATTATAATGTAATACGATATAATAATAATAATAATAATAATAATAATAATAATAATAATAATAATATGATAATTCTAGTTATAATATGATATAATAATAATAATATGCCGGTCTGAGTCCCCTCTATGGAGGTAGAGAAGATCGGGATATACAAGTTTTAAATAAATAAATATTATAATTATATATTTTATTTTACATGTAATATTACTCCTGTGTCATCTGTTGGGAGCCCTTCCCTGCAGCACCAACTGCTGCTCTGGGCCAGAGTGAAGAGAGAGGGGACCAGGAAGACAGTTCTGTTTTGTCTCCTGTGCTATGCTATATACAATATAATACTACTACTAATAATAATAATAATACGATATTATAATAATATATTTTATATTACATACAATATTACTAATAATATTACAATATAATGGTATAGTACAATATAATAATATATAATACTGATATTGTACTATGCTAATAATATAATATATCATATATACATATAATATTTATAATATTATAATGTAATGCAATATAATACTAATAATGATGATATGATATTATAGTTATATATTTATATTACATGTAATATTACTAATATTACAATATAATGGTATAGTACAATATAGTAATATTGCAACCCGAAAGACAGTTGCATCTGTCAAGTAGGAAAATTAGGTACCACCTTAAAGTGTGGGGAGGCTAAATTAACTGATTTATGAGGCCATAAAAAAGACTCCAGCAAAGCATTCCAGCGGGGAAGCATGCGGGGAATGCGGAAGTGCTTCGTCAGTGTCGCAGATGGACGAGGAAAGCGACAGCTCCCCTGGCGGCCAGAAAAAAGCTAAATAGCCTCTGTGTATGTCTGTATATGTTTGTATGTCAAAAATTGGCATTGAATGTTTGCCATATATGTGTACACTGTAATCCGCCCTGAGTCCCCTGCGGGGTGAGGAGAAGGGCGGAATAGAAAAGCTGTAAGTAAATAAATAAATAATGATAAATAAATTATATATATATATATATATATATATATATATATATATATAAAATACTGATATTGTACTATGCTAATAACATAATATATTGTATATACATATAATATAATACAATGTAATACAGTATAATACTACTACTAATAATAATATGATATTATAGTCATATATTTATATTAGATGTAATACTATTAATAATATTACAATATAATGGTATAGTACAAGATAGTAATATATAATACTGATATTGTACTATGTTAATAATATAATATATTTATGTATATATATATCTCTTGTAAGCCTCTCTGAGTCCTCTTTGGGGTGAGAAGGGCGGCATATAAATGTCGTAAATAAATGAATGCAGTATTTCCTAAATGTTAGTGTTCGATCTAAGGTGACACCGAGATATTTAGGATGGGAACAGTGTTCGAGCTCTTGGCCTTCCCGGGTAACTTTCCATTTCCTGTTGGCTTCACGGTTACGTAGGTGGAAAGCACACACTAGTGCCTTGGCAGGGTAACATGCAGTGATGTTGCATGTCACGTCATATTGTATTACCTTTCTTTTTTCCCCCTTTAGAGACTTTGATGCCAATCTGTACCTGTGTGAAGAAGCTTTTGGTCTCTTGCCTTTTAATACTTTTACGAGACTTTCTGACTCATTGGTTTTCTACCCTTATATATTTGTGGTTGTTGTGATGACGATAACAGCTGCTGCTGTTGCTTTTCAAAATCTGAGGTATGTATTTTTATACCCGTTAGGAAGGATGGATGGATTGTTTGTTGATTTATTTATTTATTTATCTGACTGGAAATCTTCTTGAGTCCAAAGAATCAGAATATGGGAAAGACTGATTAGAATAGCTTTCACTTTCAAGCAGTTCTCAGAAATCATTGCCATGGGAAGGGATTCAGTTTGTTTTCCTCATCCCTCCCAAACATAACTTTTGCAATCTTTCCCCTTGGGGGATTTTTAAATGTTTTTATGGAGTTTCAACACACACACAAAAAATACATAACTAAAAAGAACAAAGAGAAAGGACACACTTAAACCAGACAAACATCTATATAAATAAAAATGTAACGTTTGTTTGTGGGATTAATAGAACTCAAAAACCACTGGACGAATGGACACCACATTTGGACACAAGACACCTAACAACCCAATGTATGTCCTTCACTCAAAAAATTGATTTTGTCATTTGGGAGTTTTAGTTGCTGGGGTTTATAGTTCACCTACAATCCAAGAGCATTCTGAAGCCCACCAACGATGGAACTGAACCAAACTTGGCACACAGTTCTCCCATGACCAACAGAAAATACGGGAAGGGTTTGGTGGGTAGTGTCCTTTGGTTTTGGAGTTGTAGTTCACCTACATCCAGAGAGCACTGTGGGCTCAAACAATGATGGATCTGGACCATGCTTGGCACGGATACTCCATATGCCCAAATGTGAATACTGACGGATTTTGGGGAAAATAGAATCTTGACATTTGGGAGTTGTAGTTGCTGGGATTTGTAGTTCACCTACAATCACAGAGCATTCTGAACCCCACCAATAGAATTGGGCCAAACCTCCCACACAGAACCTCCATGTGGGCCACAGCAACGCGTGGCAGGGGGCAGCTACTCTATATAAATTAAAAGGTAATGTTTGTTTGTGGGATTAACAGAACTCAAAAACCACTGGGGGAATTGACACCAAATTTGGACACAAGACACCTAACCACCCAATGTATGTCCACTCAAAAAAACAAGGGGGGGGGGGGGGAAGCAGAAAGGACTTCTAAACCCAAAATTCCTACAGGGAGAAACAGCATATGTCCACAAAGGCACCCATGGCCACGCCCCCTCCTTGTGCGGAGAAGAGACTTAAAAGCCAAAATACAATAAAAAATACATTACAACACATGCACAAAACATATGTCACATGTTCGAATCCGGGGAGCGGCATGAGCTCCCGCTGTTAACCCCAGCTCCTGCCAACCTAACAGTTCTAAAACATACAAATGTGAGTAGATGAATAGGTACCGCTCTGGCAGGAAGGTCACAGCATTCCATGCGAGAGTGGGCACCATGGGAGTGGAAGCGGAGGGTTGCCACATGGAGCCCCTTCTCTTTCCCTGCTATGTCAGGAGGGTGGTCTCCTCCTCCTTCGCTTCCCCTTGTTACTATTATATATTACTATATAATACAAATTAAATAGACTCATAGAATAGAGTTGGAAGGGCCAGTCCAGAAGTAATGAGAGAAGGAGGGAGGGAAAGAGGAAAGGAGAGAAGGAAGCAAAGAAAAAAAAGTAGAGAAGGAAGGAAGGAGAAAAGGAAATAAAAAAGTTAAAGGAAAGAGAGAGGGAAGGAAGGAGAGAAGGAATGAAAGACAGAAGGAGGGAGGGAGGGAAGGAAGGAAGGAAGGAAGAAAAGAGAGAAGAAAGGATGGAACCAAAGAGCAAAGAAAAGGGAGGAAAGAAACAGGTAGAGACAGAAGAAAGAAAAAGAGAAATAAGAAGGGAAAGAAAAAGAGCGAAGGAAGGAAAGAGGGAGGGAAGGAAGGAGAGAAAGAGGGAGGGAAGGTTGGCCACAGCAATGCGTAATGGGTACAGCTAGTTACACAATAATATAATTAAGTATTTAAAATAAAGACACTTCTTCAGTGTCTTGTCTAGATTTCCTTCCTTCCCTTTGAGGTTCTTTCTTCATCTTCTTGTGTTCTATTTGGCGAAAAGAAAACTTAAATGCTTAATGTTATAGTGGATTGAGAGCACTGGAATCGTTCCCTGGCAATGGGCTTCGAGATGTTCTATTTACATAGGTAAACCACTTTTAGACTAGTATTTTGCTTAAAACAAGAGAAGTAGCAAACCTTGTAGTAGCAGCAGGGTGCATTTGGCTGAGCATTTATTATTCAGCATTTGCTCCACTTTCCTAAACAATTAACATTTATTTTTATACTTTTCGCATTCTTACACCGCTATTTGCCGATGCAGAATAAAAACAGATCCAGATCAATGTATTGTCGAAGCCTTTCATGGCTGGAATCACTAGGTTCTTGTGGGTTTTTTCGGGCTATAGAGCCATGTTCTAGAGGCATTTCTCCTGATGTTTCGCCTGCATCTATGGCAAGCATCCTCAGAGGTGTGAGGTTAGGGTTAGGGTTAGGAGAGGATGCTCTGAGGATGCTTGCCATAGATGCAGGCGAAACGTCAGGAGAAATGCCTCTAGAACATGGCTCTATAGCCCGAAAAAACCCACAAGAACCTAGATCCAGATCACTTTGAACTGCATACAACGGTCTTGCTTTAAAATAATTTTATTTTATCTGTAATATTATATTATTTCATTGTTTATTCCCAGTGGTTCTGCAAATGCCAGATACGCAGAAAGGCAGCAAAAATGGCCAACGCAGCTGAAACCTGGTGTTGCTTACAACTTAGGGCATACCATCCTGTTTGGATTGCTCGCTTTGAGCACAATGCGGTACTCTTTATTTGGCTTTTCTCATGCGCAGGATGCTTAGCATTCAGTGTAAAATATCTGATAACACACAGTATTTCCTGGTTATCATTCATATATATATATATATATATATATATATATATATATTGCGTGTGCGTGTGTATATATGTGTGTGTGTGTGTGTGTTTGTGTGTGTGTGTATATATATTGCGCGTATCCTTGTTGCATTGTGTTAAAACTATTTTGTCACCAATGCAACCCTCAAAATTTTTCCTAAAATTATTTCGGATTTCATATCGAAATAATTTTAGTAAACATATTTATGCATAGTTTATTTTTAATATGGAACACAATGAGTAATTTATGGGTTGCTGTGAGTTTTCCGAGCTGTATGGCCATGTCCCAGAAGCATTCTCTCCTGACATTTCACCTGCATCTATGGCAGGCATCCTCAGAGATTGTGAGGTCTGTTGGAAACTAGGAAAGTGGGGTTTATATATCTGTGGAATGATGTCCAGGGTGGGAGAAAGAACTCTTGTCTCCTTGAGGCAAGTGTGAATGTTGCAATTAACACTGTTGCAATGTCTCCGTATAGATACCGTAAGTTCCATGGAGTCCAAACAATACATTTCCTCTTTCATCTCACAGGATGAAGTACCTTTGGACATCGCATATATGCGTGTTTGCAGCTTCTGGTTTGTGCAGTGGTGACATGTGGGGCCTGGTCTTGAGATTCCTCCATCTGTACACACCACAAAGGGTGAGAGGTGCTATATTTTGTTTGTGTTGATAGAGAAAATTCAGGTTTTTACCCACCTATAAGAGGAAGAACAGGTTTGTATGCCACTCAATGTGTTAATGTGCAGGCAGATCCCCAAGTTACGAACAAGAAAGGTCCTGTAGGTTTGCTTTTAAGTTGAATTTGTATGTAAGTTGGAACAGGTATATAAAATTGATTTGTTTATATATGTGTATAATACATTATACACATAGCTCCCCCAGTTTCTACCAATCTAGCAGTTCAAAAACATGCAAATGTGAGTAGATCAATAGGTACCGCTCCAGCGGGAAGGTAATGGTGCTCCATGCAGTCATGCCGACCACATAATCTTGGAGGTGTCTATGGGGAATGCCGGCTCTTCGGTTTAGAAATGGAGATGAGCACCAAAGTCCCAGAGTTGGACACGACTGGACTTAATGTCAGGGGAAAACCTTTACCATCCATCTATGCACACACACACACACACACACACACTCATATATAGATATATATGCGCACGCACATAGACATACACACACACACACACTAGCCGTCTCCTGCCACACATTGCTGTGGCCCAGTTTGTGTATGTGTGCTTTGTGTGTGTTTATATGTGTGTGTATATATTTGTGTATATGTGTATATATATGTGTGTGTGTATATATATATGTGTATATATATGTGTGTGTGTATATATATGTGTGTGTATATATGTGTGTTTGCATATTTATGTGTGTGGTTTTGAGCATGCATTTTAATTGGTTTTTTGTTTGTTTTTTGGCTTTTAAAGTCTCTTTCACTGTGTTTTTCAGTGTTTTTATGAGTGATGGTCACCCATTTGCCTGATAGGTGTATTGTGTCCAATTTTGGTGTCCATTCGTCCAGTGGTTTTTGAGTTATGTTAATCCCACAAACGAACATTACATTTTTATTTTTATATGTGTGTGTGTGTGTTTGTGTGTGTGTGTATTAATCCTAGTTCTTGTGGAGAGGGAGTGGGATATAAATAAAGTTTTTATTATTATTAATTTGGAGTTCAGGGTGCATTTTGGAAGAGTAATCATGTTGTCAAAACAATGCTGTTTAAGTCCACTAGATGGCGATGTTGGAGAAGCAGAGGAACTCACAAACACAATAATGCTTCTCAAGAAGGAAAATAGAAACAAAAGCATATATCACATACAGCAGAATAAAATAATTTTTCATTATAAAAAAGTCAAATTGCAGCATGATGTTTTGTTGACGTTCATAATAGATTGTTATTAAGTTGAAACGGTTAACATAAAAAAATATTCTGAGCTCAAAATGTGGTTGTTAATTTGCATTTTTGTTTTGCCTAGGTGTCTGTGATTCGATATTTAACACCAGTGCTCATATTACTCTATCTTTGTTACAAGGTAGGACTCTTGTTTTTTTAACATTTTGCTGTCTTCCTTGCTTGATTGCGTGCTCAAAACAAGCTCCTTTCTGCAAAATAGACCTATTTGATTATACTTCCTAGTATTAATACAGCTTTTATCCATGTGGTTTTATATGGTGACACCTTGGCTCAAATCCTTTTGGTACCTTACACAGGTGTAAGTTCCATCACAAAAGCAGGTGGATATTTTTAAGTCCAAAGCAGAAATTTCCACATTCAGTTCAGAATGGAGTGAGTCGCCTGAGGGCTGAGAAAAGCGGTATATAAATAAAACAGAGAGTGTTTAAGGACCGGGACATCCGTAGGGATACCAAGGTGCTTGTTTATAGAGCTATTGTCCTCCCAACCCTGCTATATGCCTGTGAGACGTGGACTGTTTACAGACGTCACACGCACCTCCTGGAACAATTCCATCAGCGCTGCCTCCGGAAAATCTCTTGGGAAGACAGGCGGACAAATGTCAGTGTGCTGGAAGAAGCAAAGACCACCAGCATTGAAGTGATGGTCCTCTGGTGGGGAGGAGAGACAGGGCCTTCTCGATGGTGGCTCCCCGGCTTTGGAACTCCCTCCCACAGGAGATTAGAACTGCCCCCTCCCTCCTGACATTCAGGAAGCTAACAAAGACTTGGCTATGGAATGTGGCCTTTGACAACTGAGTCAACTCTGGTCCACATGGAAGGAGAATGAATAACTGAATTATGACCAGGAATACTTTGACGACGTGGCTATATAAGTGTGATGATGACGATGTTGTATTGTAATATGTTTTTAATTGTGTAATGATGATGCATTGTGTGGTTTGTATTTTTGTATATGAACACATGTTGTGAACCGGATCTGAGTCCCTCCTGGAGGTGAGAAGATCGGTATAGAAAACTTTTAAATAAATAAATAATAAATAAGGTATGTGCCTAAACAATGAGACACTTATGTTCCTCCTTAAGAGGAGTGTTCATCTGTGTATTTAGGATTTAGAACTTTATAATAAAATAGCCTAAAAGAACAATAGTGACCCTTCTCACGCTCCCATAGTAAAATACTGGGATTCCAATACTTAAGAGTGCAAATTGGGAAATGTTGGTGCTGAATATGCGCATTTGCTTTATACTGATTTTCACAACTTGAGATCCCTGGTAACCAGAAGAATGCAAGAACAACTTCCAAACAGGCACAGATTTACTAACCAACATTAATTAACCCCCCAGTCTCTTGGCCTTAACTGACAATGAGCCAACAATGTGATGCGGCGGCAAAAAAAGCCAATGGGATTTTGGCCTGCATCAAGAGGAGTCTAGTGCCTAGATCCAGGGAAGTCATGCTCCCCATGCTCTATTCCGCCTTGGTTAGATCACACCTGGAATCACATTGTGTCCAATTCTGGGCACCACAATTCAAGAGAGATATTGACTCTAAGCTGGAATGTGTCCAGAGGAGGGCGACTAAAATGATCAAGGGTCTGGAGAACAAGCCCTATGAGGAGCAGCTTAAGGAGCTGGGCATGTTTAGCCTGTAGAAGAGAAGGCTGACAGGAGACATGATAGTCTTGGATAAATATGTGAAAGGAAGTCATAGGGAGGAGGGAGCAAGCCTGTTTGGAGACTAGGACGCAATGGAGCCATGGCTTCAAACTAGAAGAGAGGAGATTCCACCTGAACATGAAGAAGAACTTGACTGTGAGGGCTATTCAGAACCTGACTGTGAGGGCTATTCAGCAGTGGAACTCTCTGCCCCAGAGTGTGGTGGAGGCTCCTTCTTTGGAGGCTTTGAAGCAGAGGCTGGATGGCCATCTGTTGGGGGTGCTTTGAATGCAGTTTTCCTTCTTCTTGGCAGAATGAGGTTGGACTGGATGGCCCATGAGGTCTCTTCCAACTCTAGGATTCTATGACTGTGAGAGCTGTTCAGCAGTGGAACTCTCTGCCCCATGAGGGAGTGTGGTGGAGGCTCCATCTTTGGAGGCTTTGAAGCAGAGGCTGGGTGGCCATCTGTGAGGGGTGCTTTGAAGGGCATTTTCCCACTTCTGGGCAGAATGGGCTTGGACTGGGTGGCTCACGAGGATTCTATGATAGTATGAGTGCTCAGCAGTCTGCACGCCCCACCTATCTTCAAAATACCTATCCTATTTCACCTGGTAATGCCCAGCATTTTTTAACAATTTTAATTATTATAAGTTTAATGTACTCCAGGTTTTAAAGGAGCTATCCAGGGTCCTGAAGGCTAGCTCCCTCATAGATTGAGGACCTTGGATAGTTCCTAGGAGAGCTGTTCAGCAGTGGAACTCTCTGCCCCAGAGTGTGGTGTAGGCTTTTTATTTGGAGGCTTTTAAACAGAGGCTGGATGGTCATCTGTCAGGTGTGCTTTAAATATGAGTTTCCTGATTCTTGGCAGAATGGGGTCGGACTGCATGGCCCACAAGTTCTCTTCTAATTCTATGATTCTATGATTCTGTAAGTTGAATCTACTCCAGGGTTTAATGTACTGCAGGTTATAAAGGAGCTATCCAAGGTTCTGAAGGCTAGCTCTCTCATAGATTGAGGACCTTGGATAGCTCCTGGGAGAGCTGTTCAGCAGTGGAACTCTCTGCCCCAGTGTGGTGGAGGCTCCTTCTTTGGAGGCTTTGAAGCAGAGGCTGGGTGGCCATCTGTCGGGGGTGCTTTGAATGCAATGTTCCTGCTTCTTGGCAGAATGGGGCTGGACTGGATGGCCCACAAGTTCTCTTCTAATTCTATGTTTCTATGATTCTATAAGTTGAATCTACTCCAGGCTTTAATGTACTCCAGGCTTTAAAGGAGCTATCCAAGGTCCTGAAAGCTAGCTCCCTCATAGATTGAGGACCTTGGATAGCTCCTGAGAGAGAGCTGTTCAGCAGTGGGACTCTCTGCCCCAGAATGTGGTGGGGGCTCCTTCTTTGGAGGCTTTGAAGCAGAGGTTGGATGGTCATCTGTCAGATGTGCTTAGAATATGAGTTTCCTGCTTCTTGGCAGAATGGGGTTGGACTGGATGGCCCACAAGTTATTTTATTTATTTATTTACAGTATTTATATTCCGCCCTTCTCACCCCGCAGGGGACTCAGGGTGGATTACAGTGTACACATATATAGCAAACATTCAATGCCAATTGACATACAACATATACAGATATACACAGAGGCTATTTAACTTTTTCTGGGCGCCAGGGGAGCTGTCACTTTCATCGTCCATTTGCAACACTGATGAAGTACTTCCGCATTCCCCGCATGCTGGAGTCTTTTTATGGCCTTATAAATTAGTTAATTTCACCTCCCCACACCAGGTGGTACCTAATTTTCCTACTTGACAGATGCAACTGTCTTTCAGGTTGCAAAGGTTGACAACAGGCTACACAATTGGTTGGAAACCCACTCCAACCCAGGCTGGCTTCGAACTCATGACCTTAAGAGTGATCTTAATGCAGCTGACACTCAGCCAGCTGCACCACAATCCCGGTGCAATCCTCAAAGATTGAGGACCTTGGATAGCTCCTGAGAGAGCTGTTCAGCAGTGGAACTCTCTGCCCCGGAGTGGTGTAGACTCCTTCTTTGGAGGCTTTTAAACAGAGGCTGGATGGCCATCTGTCAGGTGTGCTTTGAATATGAGTTTCCTGCTTCTTGGCAGAATGGGGTTGGACTGGATGGCCCCCCAGGTCTCTTCCAACTCTAGGATTCTACAAGACTGTTTATCTTTCTCTCTCTGGCCTCAATCTGCATTCAGGGATTCATTTGGTCGGTCTCCGTATGTGGTTCCATGTTATCAAGTCAGAGAGGCCCCCGACCTGTGGCTTGTGGGGAGGGGATTATAATCTAATCCCAAGTAAGCTAATGAAAGCCTCTTTGGAGGCATGTGGCTGCTGTAAGTCCAGAGAGATTGCGTGGAAGATTTAGTGCTTTGCATTCAGCGATGGCCGCTTTGCTGGCTGGCTTCGTGGATCCCCGCACAATCTACACAATCTACACAATGAGCCTGAAGCAGTATTGAACCAGCAGTTTCTATCTCCATGCCCCAAAGGTCCCAGGTGCTGTTATTCTTATAGATACTTTTCCTTACTTCTGCAATACTACTATTAGTATTTCTTTCCCAACTATTGGAAACTATTGAAAACTATTGACTTCAGTGCAGTTGAACTACATTATATGGGTCTGGACTGACCATTGAATGCAGTTTCAAACGGTCTGCACTGACCATTTATAGTGTAGATAGGACCCAAGCCATGCAGGAATCTATTGTTCATTCACTTTTATCCAAAAACTTTTGGACTGTGCTTATCACCAGGCAGTTCTTCCTAACGAATTGACATCTCTTCTCTCTTTTATTTCAATCTGTTGACTCCGGTCCTGACCCCTGGAACAGCAGGGAAAAAACCTGCTCTGCCTTCCACATGACAGCCCTTCAAGATATTTAAAAATAGCTACCAAATCACCTCTCAGTCGTCTCCTTTTTGCCAGGCTGAACATATCCCGTTTGCTCTGCCATTCTTCCTCACAGGACTTAGTTTTCAGCTTAGAATTATTTATTTATTTGTTTATATTTATTTATTTACAGCATTTATATGCCGCCCTTCTCACCCCAAAGGGGACTCAGAGCGGCTTACAAGATATATATATATACATATATATATACACACACACACACACACACACACACACACACACACAATATATATTATATTAGCACAATATCAGTATTATACATTACTATATTGTACTATACCATTATATTCTAATATTATTAGTAATATTAATATTACTAATAATATGGGGAAAGAAGCAAATATTTAATTATTTATTATTTATGGCAAGATATATACATACAATATATTATATTATTAGCATAGCACAATATCAGTATTATACATTACTATATTGTACTATATCATATTGTAATATTATTAGTAATATTAATATTAGTAATAATATGGGGAAAGAAGCAAATTGTTATTTATTTATTATTTACGGCAAGATATATACATACAATATATTATATTATTAGCATAGCACAATATCAGTATTATATATTACTATATTCTACTATATCACACTGTAATATTATTAGTAATGTTAATATTAGGAAAAATATGGGGAAAGAAGCAAATATTTATTTATTATTTATGTCAAGATATATACATACAATATATTATATTATTAGCATAGCACAATATCAGTATTATATATTACTATATTGTACTATATCATCATATTGTAATATTATTAGTAATATTAATATTAGTAATAATATGGGGAAAGAAGCAAATATTTATTTATTTATTATGACAGGATATATATATATATACATACAATGTATTATATTAATTAATATGGGGAAAGAAGCAAATATTTATTTATTATTTATGGCAAGAGATAGATATATATATATATATATATATATATATATATATATATATATATACACAATATATTATATTATTAGCATAGCGCAATATCAGTATTATATTTTACTATATTGTGCTGTACCATTATGTTGTGATATTATTAGTAATATTCCAAGTAATATAAATATATAATTATAATATATTATTATTAGTAGTAGTATTATATTGCATGACATTATAATATTATAAATATTATATGTATATAATACATTTCTCTTCAGTGTTTGGAAAGCATCTGTTTTGGTCAGCTGAAGAAGAAGAGAACTTTGTTCTACCCTCCCTGTGATGTGTTTTATTCCATATGCTTTCTCTCTGTCCCATTTTCCTTCCAGTTCTGGCCTGGAGTGATGGCTGAGCTGTCAGAGCTGAGGGAGTTCTATGACCCAGACACAGTGGAGCTGATGAACTGGATTAAGTAAGAGGATTGCGACTTTATTTAAATGAGATGCCCTCTATTAAGAGCAAGCCGATGGACTTAGTGACAAGAGCGCCCTGTGGTTCTGTTCGTGACCTATATTGACCAGGTCTAGAAAGTAGGCTGTGCCACCCATGGAAGCCTCAGGGTGTGGTTAGCCACACTGCCAACAGAACATATCTTCCCTGCTGCACATTGCAATAGCTGTGGGCTAAAGGGGTGAGAGCCAGCTCCATCCCTCCAAGGGTTGGCATCCTTCCAGCTAAACTAGTCCTGAATTCAAACTTTTCTGCCCATGCATCTGTCAGCCCCCAAAACACTGGCAGGAATGAGTCCAGCTTTCCCTCAGGCCCTAGCTGAAGAAAAACCAATTGCACAATGTGCTGTCGAAGGCTTTCACAGCAGGAATCACTGGGGTGTTGTGTGGTTCACACGCTGTATATCCAATGTGTTCTACCAGTATTTTCTCCTGACGTTTTGCCTGCATCTGTGGCTGGCATCTACAGAGGATCTGGTGGTGGTCAAGCAAGTGGACTTTATATATATCTTTGGAGTAATGTCCATGGTGGGAGGAAAGAACCATTCATTGACTGTTATGCAAGTGCAATGAGTGCAGTTACAAGCTAGATTTTTTAAAAAATTATGTGTTGAGACAGATCTTTACATTAGCATGTGAGTAGGGAATCTGTATAGAACAGTGGTTCCTGGTCTTTTTTTTTTTTTTACCAGGGATCACTTTGACTAGGGTCCACTTTGACCAGGGACCACTTTGACCAGGGTCCACTTTAACTAGGGACCCCTTTGACCAGGGTCCACTTTGATCAGAGTCCACTTTGACTGGGGTCCACTTTGACCAGGGACCACTTGACTAGGGACCCCTTTGACCAGGGTCCACTTTGACCAGGGTCCACTTTGACCAAGGACCCCTTTGACCAGGGACCACTCTCCAACATTAGTACCAAAAGGGTTACTTGCACTTATTTATTACTTGCACTTATTAACCGCCACTCTCAGCCCTAGGGCGAGAGTGGCGAATCATTTTTACGAATCATTTTTTGTCAATTTAGATTCAATTTGGTTATTTATGGTGCTGATTCAGAAAATTGCATTGGATAGACCACATCAGCTCTAGTTTCCAATACAAAACATATGCCATCCAGTAGTCTCTATCTGTTCTCCCATAGAAAAACATATTTATTAAGCCTCGGCACTATAAGAGTTTCACAGGACCAGTCGCTCTCGTTGCAACAGTGTAGTAATGGTGAGATCATGGACCATATTTTAGTTCTTGGTGACCACTGGCGGTCCATGGACCACAGGTTGGGAGCATTGGCATCGAAGTAGCCTGGCCTTTGTTCCCTTTGTATTGTTTGCTGCCTGGAGACATTCTTTGCCTGGGTGGTGTTCACTGGCCCTTGATTGCTTGCTGCCTTGAGGCCTCCTATGTCTGCTTGGTGTTCATTACTCACTGTCTTGATTCTAGTGTTTTTCAATACTGGTAGCCAAATTATGTTCATTTTCATGGTTTCTTCCTTTCTGTTGAAATTGCCCACGTGCTTGTGGATTTCAATGGCTTCTCTGTGTAGCCTGACAAAGCGGTTGTCGAGAGTGGTCCAGAATTTCTGTCTTCTCAAATAATATTCTGTGCCCAGATTGGTTTATCATGTGTTTGGCTATGGCTGGTTTTTTTCTGGCTGAATTAGTCTGCAATTGCACAATATTTTTGACTTAGTGTTTTAAATTTAGATGGTTTAATTTTTCCCCTCTTATCTATGGATCTTTGGATCTTTTCATATAGAACAGGAGATAGATAGATAGATAGATAGATAGATAGATAGATAGATAGATAGATAGATAGATAGATAGATAGACAGACAGACAGATAGATAGATAGATAGATAGATAGATAGATAGATAGATAGAGATAGGAATATAGAAAAAGAGAAAAAGCCTAAATATACCTCTATCTGTTGTCTATCTTGTCATTGTATAGTTCGGCATTGAATGTTAGCCATATATGTGTTCTGCGATCTGCCCTGAGTCTCCTTCGAAATATAAGTACTGGCAATAAATAAATAAATAAATAAATAAAATATTAATATTCAAGACAACAAATATGGTAAGTAGCATTTCAGGCACCCAAAAAGTCCCACAGAGAATTTTCACAGTATTATTATTACGAGGGTTGAATGAAAAGTAATGCCTCCACCTTCGTTACTTGGGTTTGGATGGGAATATTTTAATAAATCAAATGCAGAAATAATCCCTATTTAATAAATTAAATGCAAAAATAATCCCTAGAATGTGCTCTTTAACTACCACTATTCGTTTTCCCACACAATCACCAGACAATTGGATACATTTCTGCCAACAATGAACAAGTTTTCTGAAGCCGTCACGGAAGAAGTTGACACTCTGTTTCTGCAACCAGCGTCTCACAGTTCTCTCATCCTGGGTACACATCGTGCACAGATTTTCCGATAGCCAAGCAAAGCAATAACGTGACCCACATATTCTTGTGAAATGCCGATTATGCTTGAAATTTCTCTCTGAGTGATACAACAATAATCCTGAATCAATCTGTCAACCTTTTGCTTGTGAAACTCGGTGGTTGGTGTCACAGAACATCCAACTCTTTGTTTGTCATGCAAGTCAGATGTTCCCACTTCAACATCTTTAAACTTACTTGCCCAATGACGCACAGGATTCACATCAACACAATCACCATCAACAGCTTGCATTCTTTGATGAATATCCTTTGGGGGTGACACCTTCTGCAGTCAAGAATTCAATGACTGCACGTTGCACAGGGTTCCATACTTCGCACTTTAACAATACAACCGTTCAATACTAAGGCTTCCCGCCAAAATGGAACTGTAGAGGAGAGTCTACTGAACAAGCCAGTACCTGCCACGTACCAGTGCTGCCATCTGTTGAGGAGTTATGAAAGTGGAGGCATTACTTTGTCTGCTAAGGCTTCCCACCAAAATGGAACTGTAGAGGAGAGTCTACTGAACAAGCCAGTACCTGCTGCATACCAGTACTGCCATCTCTTGAGTTATGAAGGTGGAGGCATTACTTTTCATTCAACCTTCATATGTTTAATGTATTGTCGAAGGCTTTCATGGCTGGAATCACTAGGTTCTTGTGGGTTTTTTCGGGCTATAGAGCCATGTTCTAGAGGCATTTCTCCTGACGTTTCGCCTGCATCTGTGGCAAGCATCCTCAGTGGTAGTGAGGTCTGTTGGAAGTAGGAAAAAGGGTTTATATATCTGTGGAATGACCAGGGTGAGACAAAGGACTCTTGTCTGTTGGAGGAAGGTGTGAATGTTTCAGCTGATCACCTTCATTAGCATTTGAAGGCCTGCCTGAGCCTGGGAAAATCTAGAACATGGCTCTATAGCCCGAAAAAACCCACAAGAACCTACTTCATATGTTTATTTATACTCTGCTTTTTCTCTCCATAGCAGAGACTCAAAGCAGCTTACATTAAAAGCATTTCAATAGAATTTGACATCCAAAATTATACAGACATTAATGCTATTAATTAAAAATCAACAGTTAAAATCCTTGAAACGGATTCAAGTTGCATTCAGAGCTAACTTATGGGGGGCCCCCTTGTTTTCTCAGGGGTATCTTTGCCTGTTGTACCTCCACGTTGCCTTTTCTGCAGCAGCATTAATGGACAGTGTAATTATTCATGACTAAATAGGTATTATAAATTATCAACGTCCTTTTGAAAGAAGACCGAAGCCATCCCTACCATATTGACATGTGTTCATGACTAATGCTCACCAGCCAGGGGTCTTTAGTCCCACTTCTGTATTAAGAGATGTTAAATGTTTGATAGTCCTGGTCCCTGGAGTCCAATATGCAGTGTTTTATATATAGATTTATACATAAAATATACATGTAAGCTATGGTTTCAGACACAAACTGGATTTGACTGGTTGCAATGAGAGCAGTTTTTCACGCCGTTCCTGAGCAGAGAATACTAAACAGCTGTTTATCCTCTTCTCCTTTTAAATCATGGCAGACACTTTTTGTTATTCTTTGCTACTTGGAATTTATTGCGTTGAAGCGTGAACGTTATGCACATAAGAAGAAGTTAATTACTTTTGTATTAACGACACCGAAAACAAATTTACGGTTCTCACCTGAAACTGGAATATGGATCCTTTCTTGCCTTGTCAGCTTCTGGTGTCAAAAGAGATTTTGATATTATTCGTTCAGCCCTTTAAAACTTTAGCTAAACTTCATGCAAGAGTTTCTGAATAGGATAGGGGTTTGTTGTTGTTTTTGTTGTTGGGTTGTTGTAGGTTTTTCCAGGCTATATGGCCGTGTTCTAGAGGCATTTCTCCTGACGTTTCGCCTGCATCTATGGCAAGCATCCTCAGAGGTAGCGAGGTTTGTTGGAACTAGGAAAATGGGTTTATATATCTGTGGAATGATCAGGGTGGGACAAAGGACTCTTGTCTTCTGGAGCTAGGTGTGAATGTTTCAGCTGACCACCTAGATTAGCATTTAATGGCTTGGAAGTGCCTGGGGGGAATCTTTTGTTGAGAGTGATTTGATGTGCCTGATTGTTTACTCTCCGTTGTTTTGCTGTTGTAATTTTTGAGTTTTTTAATACTGGTAGCCAGATTTTGTTCATTTTCATGTTTTTTGTTGTTGTTTTGACTTGCGGTTTCTGCCACCAGAAGTTTTTTTGTTTTTGCTTTCAGTCTAAATAAAATGTGAAAGCGACAGTCATTTGTGGGTTGACAGATTTAAAAGGCAGTCTTCTGAAATTTAAAAGTAAGCTAGTGTTATAATATGATTTTTTTTCATGTCAGGAGCAACTTGAGAAACTGCAAGTCACTTCTGGTGTGAGAGAATTGGCCATGTGCAAGGACGTTGACCAGGGGATGCCTGGATATTTGATGTTTTACCATCCTTGTGGGAGGCTTCTCTCATGTCCCCTTTGCATGGGGAGCTGGAGCTGGCAGAGGGAGCTCAAC